TATATATATATATATATATATATATATATATATATATATAGTAACACCTTTTATGGAATGATATAATTTTTAAGTCTTGGAGTTCTTAATACCCTGAATTTTAAAACGCCTTAATTTTTATCACTTGAGTATTTGCCAGAAAGGTGAACTTCTCAGTCGTATGAACTTTATATTGTCCCTTGGTAGAAAGAAATAGAAAAGTTGAAGTCAACTCAGTTTCAATCACACCACAATAGCCTTACAACAAAGCAAAGTAGAACACTGTTACAAGTTATTCATAATTTGAATTTTATTAAATTAAAGCTTCTTAATTGAATTATACCACACCTCTTGAAGGTAACATTTCATCCAGTAAATTTCCTTAGTCTTTGTGCAGAAATTGAGGACAACAGCATACAGATGAAGAAAGATCTGACGACATTCTTGTACCACCTGAGGATAGATGCTGATGTGGAGGTGGTTGAGATGGTGGGTAACAACTGGCTTTCTGCTGGAAATGTGTTCATGAGAATCCTTTAACTTGTTTAAGCCAGATGATATGTTTCTTGGTCAGAGTATTTATCTATTTATTTATTCTTTCTACTTGGTTTTAATGATTTATGATTATTTTATTTCTTAAGTATTAAAATTTATTTTTATTTTTTGAAAAAAGCAAGCCATCAGTGATGTTACCTCATACTGTCCAATATTTGACTATCACTTTCAGATGAAATCAGTTTTAATCACCGATATATGTTTTCCAGCCAAATAGTGACATATCAGCCTATACATATGAGAGAACGCTGATGATGGAGCAGAGGTCCAAGATGCTGAAAGAGATGAAAGGATGCGGGAAGATAGTGGATAAGATAGAGTCTGGTGCACAAATTGTGCTTGTAAGTTTTCATCGATGAGCACTATCTGTTAGATATTAGTTGAGGATCTACAGACCTTGCATGAGGTTGAAGTTGTGACTAAAGGAAAGAAGTTCGACTTTTTGTGTAGAGGTCTAAAAAGAAAGTTCTGATTAACAAACATACTAACAAAAAAACACATAGGTCCTCTTAATCTCTATCATTATCTCAAAACTAGGTAAACTTTTATATCTTTTACCTCTTCAGGCTGATCAGATCGTAGAAAAAGCTCACCAATCTGGCCGAGCCTCAGATGTGGGTATTGAAATAGACCGCCTCTCACCAGATGGGAACATACAAGAGAGTAATGAGTATACTTTCACCCCATCTGTCAAACAAGCCAAGAAAGAAAAAACAGACAAAGCAGTGAAATTTAGCAAAGATGTCATGGATCCAAAACCGTGAGGCATTATTGTTTTTTCAGGAAACTGGAAATGGTTTTCTTTTTCTTTATTTATTAATTTTTTTATGATTTTAATTTTTTTATTTATTTTTTTATTTTTTATTTTATTTTATTTTTTTTCAAACTTTTCTAGGTAAACTAAAAAAAATTAAATATTGATGCATTTACTTTTAAAAGTGATAATATTTCATTAGACAATAGTTTTGTTTGGAATCAATTTATACCATATTTCAATAGTAAAGATAAAAAATGTTGACAAGCTGATTAAATCAGATTAGATTTATTTATCAAATATCAATAATCCAATTTCCTTTATTATTAGTATTATCATTATTATTATTATAAAATTCATCAGCAGTGGCCAATGACCTAGCAGTACAGCGTTGCAATTGAAATTGATCATCTTCAGTCTCTGTTGATTGAAAATCTTTCACACTAATAGCTGCTGACGCTGGCTGTACAACCTATGTAGCAATACTTAGCACACTCATTATTTGCAGAGACAAGAAGAACGTCCGCAGAATGCACACAGCTGTCCGCCTCAATGAAGTGATAGTGGAGAAATCCCACAGTGCCAAGCTGGTGCTGCTGAACATGCCAGGGCCACCAAAATCAGCAGAGGGGGAAGAAAAATGTATCTTTTGTTTGTTAAATAACCATTGTAGAGTGGATTTGTTACTTTTTGTTTAGGTAAATTACTATGATATGAAGGCAATGTGGTGATATAACTGAAAGGGGAGAATACTATGTTTGCACTTAGGTTGAGTAAGAATATTTCAGAATTTCTTGATTTTGATATAGAAAATGTGTATAATACGTCTCCTATGGATGATTATTCAGAACTCTAGGATTTTAGTTCTCTTATTTTATTANGTAACACCTTTTATGGAATGATATAATTTATAAGTCTTGGAGTTCTTAATACCCTGAATTTTAAAACGCCTTAATTTTTATCATTTGAGTATTTGCCAGAAAGGTGAACTTCTCAGTCGTATGAACGTTATATTGTCCCTTGGTAGAAAAAAATAGAGAAGTTAAAGTCAACTCAGTTTCAATCACACCACAATAGCCTTTCAACAAAGCAAAGTAGAACACTGTAACAAGTTATTCATAATTTGAATTTTATTAAATTAAAGCTTCTTAATTGAATTATACCACACCTCTTGAAGGTAACATTTCATCCAATAAATTTCCTTAGTCTTTGTGCAGAAATTGAGGACAACAGCATTCAGATGAAGAAAGATCTGACGACATTCTTGTACCACCTGAGGATAGATGCTGATGTGGAGGTGGTTGAGATGGTGGGTAACAACTGGCTTTCAGCTGGCAATGTGTTCATGAGAATCCTTTAACTTGTTTAAGCCAGATGATGTGTTTCTTGGTCAGAGTATTTATCTATTTATTTATTCTTTCTACTTGGTTTTAATGATTTATGATTATTTTACTTCTTAAGTATTAACATTAATTTTTATTTTTTGAAAAAAGCAAGCCATCAGTGATGTTACCTCATACTGTCCAATATTTGACTATCACTTTCAGATTAAATCAGTTTTAATCACTGATATATGTTTTCCAGCCAAATAGTGACATATCAGCCTATACATATGAGAGAACACTGATGATGGAGCAGAGGTCCAAGATGCTGAAAGAGATGAAAGGATGCGGGAAGATAGTGGATAAGATAGAGTCTGGTGCACAAATTGTGCTTGTAAGTTTTCATTGATGAGCACTATCTGTTAGATATTAGTTGAGGATCTTGCATGAGGTTGAAGTTGTGACTAAAGGAAAGAAGTTCGACTTTTTGTGTAGAGGTCTAAAAAGAAAGTTCTGATTTATAAATACTAACAAAAAAAAACAACACATGCGTCCTCTTAATCTCTATCATTATCTCAAAACTAGGTAAGCTTTTATATCTTTTACCTCTTCAGGCTGATCAGATCGTAGAAAAAGCTCACCAATCTGGCCGAGCCTCAGATGTGGGTATTGAAATAGACCGCCTCTCACCAGATGGGAACATACAAGAGAGTAATGAGTATACTTTCACCCCATCTGTCAAACAAGCCAAGAAAGAAAAAACAGACAAAGCAGTGAAATTTAGCAAAGATGTCATGGATCCAAAACCGTGAGGCATTATTGTTTTTTCAGGAAACTGGAAATGGTTTTCTTTTTCTTTATTTATTAAATTTTTTATGATTTTTATTTGTTTATATTTTGCAAACTTTTCTAGGTAAACTAAAAAAAAATTAAATATTGATGCATTTACTTTTAAAAGTGATAATATTTCATTAGACAATAGTTTTGTTTGGAATCAATTTATACCATATTTCAATAGTAAAGATAAAAAATGTTGACAAGCTGATTAAATCAGATTAGATTTATTTATCAATATCAATAATCCAATTTCCTTTATTATTAGTATTATCATTATTATTATTATAAAATTCATCAGCAGTGGCCAATGACCTAGCAGTACAGCGTTGCAATTGAAATTGATCATCTTCAGTCTCTGTTGATTGAAAATCTTTCACACTAATAGCTGCTGACGCTGGCTGTACAACCTATATTGTAATACTTAGCACACTCATTATTTGCAGAGACAAGAAGAACGTCCGCAGAATGCACACAGCTGTCCGCCTCAATGAAGTGATAGTGGAGAAATCCCACAGTGCCAAGCTGGTGCTGCTGAACATGCCAGGGCCACCAAAATCAGCAGAGGGGGAAGAAAAATGTATCTTTTGTTTGTTAAATAACCATTGTAGAATGGATTTGTTACTTTTTGTTTAGGTAAATTACAATGATATGAAGGCAATGTGGTGATATAACTGAAAGGGGAGAATACTATGTTTGCACTTAGGTTGAGTAAGAATATTTCAGAATTTCTTGATTTTGATATAGAAAATGTGTATAATACGTCTCCTATGGATGATTATTCAGAACTCTAGGATTTTAGTTCTTTTATTTTATTATTATTATTATTATTATTGTTTTTGAGCACTGTATGTAATGCCAGACAGGGGCGGATCCAGAGATATTTTCTGACAGTCTTCCAAATTTTCTTTGTTGATCCATCTTCTATTTTTGACCGTCTTCCGACAGAAAACATCAGATGGCTGACAATGTAAACTTGAAAATCTGACCGTCTTCCAGAAGACCCAGAAGACGGCCTTAATCCGCCCCTGCCAGAATACAGTTCTTTTCATTGCTACATCATTTAACTATTACACTTAACTCCTCCCCCAGACATGGAGTTCCTGGAGGTATTAACGGAGGGTATAGACAGAGTGGTCTTAGTCAGGGGCAGTGGCAGGGAAGTGATCACCATGTACTCATAACAACTGTGATAGTCTGACTTACAGGGTGATAGTGGCAGCAGCTAGGGTGAGGAGGATAAAACCAAAAACATCGAAAAGGACTGATTAGTGTCAGACGAACAAAAGGAAGGTGTCACAACGAGTAGTGGTGATTACTGTTAAAATCCAAAATTTTAATATGAAGACAACAAGAACTTACAGTGATTTCTGGGGAAAAAGAAAAAAGCTGAAGACAATGTAAAGTTACTGCAACTCCGTTACACTTTTGATACTTAGGCAGACTTGGAGGGTAAGGGCACAATTTTTTTTTCTGCTTGGCCCCCCTCATGAAATCTTGGATCCATTCATTAGTTTATTACATATAGAACCATTACAGCAACAGACACTGTATATTGTCATTTTACCATCCAAGTATTGAACTTTGACAAAAGCAGGATGCCTGCATCATCAGATAGATTCACAATACCATTGTTGTGCTATTGTAACAATAGTTTGAATTCATAAAAATTGGTTCCATCTGTGAGCTTGGTTGCTAAAATGGCCATGCCAACCTATATAGTAGCATTTTATATTATTACAAACATTTTGGCTATTAAGCTACGTATATTTATATTTTAGAAAAGTATTGAGGCCCAGTTTGAAGAGTATAATTTGATGAAAACATCCTGGTATAAAATGTTGTTCTAACGAAAATAGATTCATTTGTGGCTTTGTCATTTAGGCAATGTGTGTTTGAGACAAAAAAATTACGTGGGACTCATTTGACATAGGAGTTGGAATTATCAGTAGATCTGCTAGCTTTTTTCAGTGCCAAAAAATAATGTCCTTAAACTGAAATCTAACATCCCTTTATTACACTCAGCTCAAAGTCTTTGAATTGTTTTAAATTTTTTAAATGTACACCCATCCAAAGCCAGTATAATTGCATTGGTTGCTTCCCGAGGGCCTTTAGAAAAAGCCTTTAGACCCAGCCTTTAACACTCTACTGGTATAGTATTCCATGAATCTCTCACAGCAACCAGAAACATTTTTGGTTATCTGGATTGAAATACAAAGATTTCCTTTTTTCAATAATGCTGTTGTCATACAGGTCGTTTTAAAATTTAGGGCCAAATAATGTTCTCATAACATGCCTTCTTGCAATAAAATGAGTGTGGAGTGACGACATACATGACCAAGCCATTTACCCATAAAATTTTGTGATTTCTCTTTTAAAAAAGACATCAGTATTATTATACCAAAAAAAGACAACATTTTAATGAGACATGTCACTTACACTTTGAATTCATTCTACCCCACACAGCAAAAGATGAGAAAATTGATTTTTTTCTCTGCAATTTTTCCGGTTGTATTCTTAAAGCCTGCAAATTTTACATGATGGTTAATTTTGGGATGCTTTCAAATTTATACAATTCTTTCGTACCCTTCATAAAAAGGATGAATCAACATAACTTGAGATGCTTTTAGACAAAAATCAAATTACATCTGGTATTGTAGATTGTATGTATAGAATATTAATGGTAATTTCATATCAGCACATTGGTTGAGATTAAAAGGAATGTGGCATTTAGCATTTTAAGGTATTTACATGTTTAAGCATATGTCCTAGTACAAAGGAATAAGAAATAGAAGACAGTGCTTGTAGTTAATTGTTTGCACATATTTCATTCATTTTGTGGTCAAAATGTTATAATTTCTTTGAAGACCACTATTTATGGAAACTTGATATAACCCACCAACAATGTATTATGATGCCAACTTTTTTACAACTTTCCCAAGATTAATGCATTTGTGTTGAATATATGGGTGAATGTAATTTATGAATATTTTGCTATATAGCAGTTTTTACCTCAGCAGCCATAGGTTACCCTCACATGAGACTCCACTAAGGTTTAGCTCACTCCACTTCTAAATTTTGTCAACAGTCTTAATAAGCAAATGTGGTAATGAAAGCAATCTGGCAAGTACTAAATTTAAGCAAAATTGATTATTTATTCGCAAACAATATCTATATGGCAAGTTCTGTTTACACCATAAAGAATGCTTTATAAGGTACTAAAATTGATGAATTCTTAACTAAAGATACTTAAACAAGATTGAAGTATGGCAATTAAATATCTTTGGGACAAACAAATTTATTATTTGTCCATGGTATGCATACACCTGCTGTATTGCAATGAAGACATTTCTGATGAATTTTTAGTTTGATTCAGAGCCCAACTTGTGGAGCCTTGTGTGATAGGAGCCATCGAGACAAATCTCAGCCAATCTGTGAATTTCCAGTTTTCTAGTTGTGTTGCTTGTTTTAAAATGTAGTCTATGCTAGTGTCATTGGCACAAGGTGATTCTAAGTCAGTAAGACTGTGCAATTATTTAAAAACTTTGTGAACTTTCTCTTAATATTTGAATGTTATTAGGTGATATATAATTTATTGCAGAATTATTTTGAGATCATTTAGTTTGAAGTTATTTATTTTCCAAACTAATCAAAATTAGACCTCGAAAGTTTTTTCCTTACTGAGTTTATTTAAAATAAAAAAGAGTTAAATTTCTAGGTCAAATTTTAATTAGATTGCATGTTTTTCTGTATGTGTGGTGTTTGTAAAAGTATTTTAAAGCATTTCAGAACTTAGCCTAGTTGCTTTTTGAAAAATTAAATATTGAATAATATCAAATAAACACAAGTATGCGCTACTTAATATGAATATTGAAGTTGCAGTTTTATGCATTTTATATTTCACTGCTGTAGTTTTGTCAAGTTACCTCAAGGTTTACATGACTGTGAATATCCTTACTAGAAAATGTGACAGCATTGGTCATTTTTATTTATTTATTTTCAGTAGACAAATCATTCTACTAAGCAAACTTTCCAATATGTTTTAGAACTAAAGTTGCAAATCATTCTTTTTAAAACAAGAAATTTATCAGTCATAGAATAATGCTAACTGGCAGGTTGACTTTTCTGCCCTTTAACTCAAAAAGTTTCAGTTTTGTCATTTTACAGATGTTGAAATGTGTTTGCTAGCTACCCTTAAGGAAAATACTTAAGACAAATAGTGACAGTTTTTCAGTGGATATCTCGCAATGCTGCATTTTCTTACAGAATATGTCACAGCATCTTGATTCTGGTATTATACATAAGCAAGCTTGTAGGTACAGGGTAATCATTTGCTTTTAGGCTTTTTATGCATTGTTAACTCTTGCTTGAAGAGGGAAATAAAAATATTTTAAAGAAATGTTTGGTTAGTTTATAAATGCCTTTTATCTTTTCAAAGTTTCCAGTGTCATAATTGTCCTAAGTCTTTTCAAATTGCTGTCATACATTTGAAGTACATGTAAATTTTAAAATAGTAATAATAAACAGGAAAATTACATTCTTGGGTGGGGAAAAAATATTATTAACAATGCATAATAAATTTTCACCATATAAACTTGAATTGGATGTCGATACCATAATAATGTTAAGTATCTTAAATCGTCCACAGAAAAACTAGACGACATTATCAATAGATTTTTAAAGCAATAATAACTTCCTTTGAAATTCAAAATTCCACATGAAATACATTGTAAACAAAGCATGGAAATATATTCTATTGTATTTTTACCACTAAAACGGCTGTAATTGTAGTAAAACTAAAATCTGTACTTGTCAATAGGGCTTTCGATGCCTTTCTTCCCGGTTGTCAAAGCATCCGTTGCTAATGACATAAGGGTGTCACGCGGATTCTCGCGTTCATTCGAGACCAAAATAACATGGCGCCAAACGCGTTGATGCGGACGCAGACGTAAGTTGCGAGTTTTTGTACAGTGCGTCGGATAACGAACAGCCCAGAATGGCACACATTGTGGATATAAATGCATTTTTAACAAAAAGACAAATATATCTCATGAATCTTATATAGTGTTGTTGTTGTCTGCTTTTCCCGCGGTTTTAAGTAGGTCACCAGTGACTATGCAATCTCAGAGAGGGCTCCGTCATTTAAAATCTCTTATGAAATTTTAACAAAAAAAGGTACGTTTAGGAAAAAAACCCTGGATTAACTTTGAATGCAGGAATGGGGTCGTTGACCATTGGTAAGTACGGGAAAATTGCCGTTTTTTCCAGGAAAATCCCATTTTTGGCCAAAAAGAAGAGTTATTATGACTTTAACCATCTCTCCACATATCAATAGATTTTTAACCATCTCTCCACATATGTATTTCTCAAAAAATAAATTCTTCGTAATCTGGTGACCAGTACAAATGGGGTTTAAGCCTTGAACCCAAGAGATGATATCCAAAGCACATGAAGAAGCCTCTTTTCAATTATAAAGAAAGAAGCTGGGTTGTCCGACTCAGCACTTTTCAAATTGAGCTGGTTGCTATGTAGCCGGTTCATTCTCTGTGAGGGCAAGGGCTTGAGGTACATTTTCACCTGCAGGCCCCAAGAAGTGAAACCTGAAACAAAGCATTCAACATTTATATGTGACTTTGAACCTTCAAACAGACAAGTTCTCACACTGGAGGAAGGAATGAATCTTAACTACAGGGATGTTTCATTTTTTTTTTTTCAGTAGTCTCATATTACAGGTGATGCCCCTGAAAAACAGTATGGCTGCATCACACACACAAATGGAATTTTTGGTGCATTGTTATAATTTAAAACCTTTTACTGTTTCATTTTATAAGCATTTAAGCCAGATGCAAGCAAAATGAAAAAACGGGGTCATGACCTATAAGAATCAACCACACGACCTTTGACCCAGGGGTGACAGCTAACTCTTAGCTTTAATAATTGAAGACCTTTCTCTTTTCAACTTGGCTCAGACAGTAAATAGATATAATTACTTGAGAGGCAGAATGAAGAACACATTGCTGATTCTATCTTCTCTTACCCAAATGAGTCTGTGGCACTAGTTTCTTCTATATTGAATTCTGCTACAGGCACACCTCTACTGGCCACCTGGGGGGCAAACATGGCTGCCGGGTACACAACAGATGAAGTTCCTACCTGGAAGGGTAGGGACTGAAATATTATACTACAGTGATTTTTTATGTGAAGGTTTTATTTCCACATACAAAGCATATTCACATAACATTGCAATAATTCAATACAGGTATGTCCAAAAAGTAATTATAATTACTTTTCTAAGACATGAAATTGTGAAATAAATATATGTACTAATATATAATAGAAATCAAAATTCTCAGCCACAGCAATTCCCTTTATGCCAAAAGACCAGTTCCCATATTGAAAAACTTAAACCACAAATTGACTTTGACATCATCACAATACCAGACTGCTCATTGTTAACAATTTCTGTCTAAATCTTAAAGTTAACTTCACTGAACATCAGTGAATATAAGAGAGATGCAAAGGAACTAAATGAACAAAATGTAACTACCTTAAAAATATTTTACAGGGAAATGTAGATGAATGTCTGGAATAGATATGTAACCTACCACTAAACACAGATCACAGCTATCAAGTTCCTCCTCTGCCCTCCTCATCACATTCGAGTCCAAACTTTCACCAAACCAAACAACATGCGGACGTAATAATCCACCACAATCAGGTTTTTTACACCTGAAAAAATGTGTTTTATCATTAGGAAGTCATTTTTGCAGAGGTTAGTTAAAGGTGTAATTACAAATTTGGTGCAAACTTGCTTGGACAAATTTTGGAATGGGAACAATTCATGCAAAATATAAATAATGAAGACATGAGAGAGAGAATTGGGTTGGGAAGTAAAGAAAATTACTGACTTTCAGAAAAATATTATTTGACAGCATTAATAATGATTATTATTATTTATATTTTTATCTATCTATTAATTTATATGCAGCAGTTTTGAACTAAAGCACATGGGCCCTTTAAACTTTTGCCAATAGGTGGCAGCTCTATACCTAGGAAGCTGATCCACTGGGATCCTAGCATCTTCTGCCTCAGGATCAGGAGCCCTGAAAGTGGAAGCTATGTCTATTGTCTTTGCCTTATACTTTAAAGGGATAATAACTCTTCGTTTTGGCCAAAGAATGAATTTTCCTGGAGTAAACAACAATTTTCCCATACTAACCAATGGTTAATGAATCCATTTTAACATTCAAAGTTAGTCCCTGGTTTTTTTCTAAAAAGTTTGGTTTTTTGTTAAAATCTCTTAAGAGATTATAACAGAGTATAGCCATCAATGGAGGTCGTGTGGTCTGAAGACAAGCTAAGATATCAAAATAATAGCTATAACTGCCGTTTTTGTGGTAAAACAGAATATATTATATTTCTATGAGTTGTTCACAATGTTCTTATTGTGAAATATAGATCTCATACGAAGAGTTATTATCCCTTTAATCTACTGATCACTTGGACCAGCAACATTTAATGTCTTGGCTCAGTGTTGTATTTACTGTTGTAAGTACAAATGCTTTACCTGTCATATCTAATAGACTTCAAGAAACTACTAGTCCCAATAAAAATTTGCTAGCCCAAAGATTTTATCAACAGACAATAGACAATAGAAAATATATATCTAAAAATGGAAAAATGCCAAATAATCTGATCACACAGGTACAAGATAGTAAAAATGGAGTTTATTTGTCTATGAACAGGACTATTTCACTTACTAACCCCTTCCCCGCCAAGGCAGAACATATGGGGCTATCCCTGTTATACTGAACATCTCCACACTGAGTGCATCTGGTTTTGAATAAATTACCTGAAAACAAAATTAAAAACATCTTCATACTTAAAGAACTTATTTCATATTTCGCAATTGATTTGAAGTTATCCAAGAACAATAAGTATGTGAATCAAAAAGGAATTTAATATATTTAGCAAAATCATCTAGATGCAAAATGGATGCATGATTAAAAGATGAAATTTTGAGAAAATTGGAAAAATAAACAAATTAACTGGTAAAAATTTCCATTTGTCTGATAAGTTTTAATTTTGAAAATTTTATTTATTTATCTATTTATTTATTTATTTATTACTTTGCTCGTCCCAAACCATATCTACAGAATGCAGACAAAACATACAGTACCATGCAACTCCAGAATGTTCTTAGAGCCAGCTCTCTTGTGAAGTTCATCTATGTTCTGTGTGATGATGACAACTCTCCTGTTTTGTTTCTTTAATCTTTCTTCACACTCAGCTAGAGCCAGGTGAGCCTGAAACAAGCAGGCAAACAAACAAACAAACTAATAAACAACATTATTTAAAAGCTAGAGAGCAGTCAAAGAGTAAGACATCCATCAAGGAAAATGTCCATCAGTTTTGATCTTTAAACTTTTCATTATAAAGAGATCCAGATTTTGTTAAAATTGAGAAAAAAAAAAAAACTTCATAGGTTTCTTGACTTACAATGGAGTTCTGTTTCTATATTGTGTCTGAGTATAAGTTGAAATACACCTTTTAAAATAAGCATCTTTTTTAGCAAGTCACTCACATGTAGTAGTACAGTACTTAAGTCATAATATGAAAACATATGGCAGTAACTACTACTACTACTGATATGAGCATAACTATATAATTCATATATACACAGCATGAATAACAAAAATCAAAACAAGGATTTGCATCATGATCCATGGAATCATGGGACTTCAGCTAAATAAAACCATTATAACATAAGGAACCCTAAACTTCACTGGCAAATTTTTGCCTTAATCAAGAAATGGGGAGAAGGGATTTTTTTTTTTTTTTTTTTTTTTGCTTGATGTCTTTCTGATGATGTAAAATAGTCTTTCTTCTGATCTAAGTTACAACTGGTGTGAACAGGCCATATCTACATCTCACTACTCAGTGGTGGTACTGTACAAGCAATTCCAATAAATTAATATCATCATTTACCTTGTTTGGCTCCTTAGAGGCCATGACCTCTCTTCTGTAATGATAGAACTCCCACACTAATGACGGATTTTTGCGGAAAGCATTTGGAGAAGCAAGATCCTATGTGATTAAATAAACATATTTTAGTAAATAAATTGCATTTACCCAATTTTATCAACATTTTAATATACATGTATAGTAGGTAATCTGATGGATGTTAAATGAATAGGATCTTTTTTTTACATTATATTAGAAAAAAATCTTCAAATATTTTTAAAAAGCAAAAAAATAAATAAAATGACACAGTCTTTACTGCACATAATATTGTAAAATGAAACTATAGAAATATTTACATGAAAATATTTTTCCTTAAAACAATGCAATAAAAGTTTCTCTTTTACAAGTTATCAGTTTATTGACTTAGGATAATATACTCTAATGAGGCAAAATGTCACACATCATGTTTTGGACATGTTTGTGAGGATTAATCTTAAAATTTCATTCCTTTCCGATTTTACCAGCATTCCACCAGACTTGGCATATACCTGTACTCATTATTTCAACAGAACTTTGTGCCACCAACTTATAATCAAAAACCATCTGTGGAGAAGAAAAACAGGTGGCATTACCTGTGCTTGCCATCTCCTCCAGAATCCACCTGCACCCCTGAAAGTGGGCACCCCACTCTCAGCACTTATTCCAGCTCCTGTCAACACAACGATGTGAGACGCCTTGTCAAAGTGTTTCCTGAACTCTGCCATGTCAGAGCTATAACGCTTAGAACCACTCTGGAATAAAATTTAATATAATAGTAGCAATCAATGTCAAATTACCGGGAGTTTCAGAAATTACTGGGAAATCTGTGTTATCAGCATGGCTCTATACATGTAGATAAATACATGCTGAGGCATGCTGATAATGATTAATCCACAGAAGCCGGTATTTAGGAATCTTATAAATGAGGGGTGTATGTGTTAAGTATGTCCTCTTTCATCGGCTATTTCTGAACTGCAGTCACGTAGACTATGTGTGGTACTTGTGCAGTGCATGGGGCCCCCATTCCCACTCCATTTACACAAATGTATTGTAAGTCGTTGATATGCAATGTTTTTCTTAAATCTGTTTTGTGGCGACTTCGATAATTGTCGCTGCATACAAAGGCCTATATAAGTTTTGGGGTGCATATTGGCAACCTGTTTACCACTTGTACTAGCTTACGATCTGCTAGGTTTTTTCTACTTCTATAACTGCACTTACATTAGGCCCTACTAGTACTTAGAACGTTAGCCTAGGCGGAAAGACTTGAGTCGAGATTCTTGACCGCCTCACGAGAGTTATTTTCAGTCTAACTTACCATTTGATCCATATTTGTAACACTGCCACCGCCTAAAAAACCAAAAGATGCCCCTATGCAACCTCGTATGCCGCTCTGGAAGCCTGTCACAACCTTACAGGATCGAAAAGACGAAAGTAACATGTCAAATTGCCTACATTTAGAAAGCACCTTTGCTAAATACGTCATCGAATGCTGTGTAAATATGGTCAAATTTCTCACGGGGAGAGCTGGAGGTGAAAAGGGAACGTTGCATCCATTCGAACTTTGTCCATTTTATCAAATTTCTTTTCACTCAATCCTTTCCCTTCCTTTCCCTCCGTTATATGGTAGGATCACAATAATTAACTCTTTACGTAAAGCAAGTTCCGTGCTTGATTAATTTTTTTTTGCGATTTTTACTAAAACTTAGTTGTCAAAAAAAAAAAAAAAAACTGATCGAACCCAGAAGTAGCAAAAATGGTCGATGGATTTCGTTGCTTGACGAGATGAACACTCACTTTAGGGAAATGAAATGTTTTGAACAGGCCTAAATAAATGAATGAATGGATGGATGAATGAACGAATGAATAAGGTGAGGTTCACATCGGACATTGAAGGAAAACCTATGATATTGTGATGAAATCCGTTTCATGAATATTTCGAAACAATAATTCGCCCTCTTTAAACCTTTGAAATAGAAGAAATGGATTTTTTTGAATAAGCCTAAATGTTGTGAATAGGCCTAAATGAATGAAGTTCATACCAGATATCGAAGGAAAACTCATGGCATTGTGATAAATTCCCGTTTCATGGATACTTCGAGACAATTAATTCACCAACTATGCCTTTGAGAAAGAATTTGTTTTCAAACTGAATCAGACGTTCATGCATGTAAACTGGAAAACCGAGTTTCCAGTGCAAACAATCCTACCTAACGATCCCAGGGTAACCAAATATCCAGAACAACACCAATTAGATCCTGGTCCGGCCATAAATATAGCCTACTGATACCAATCTCTAATTAACTATTTTAAGAACTGCTAATTTTGGACTATTTAAACTGAAAACACCCGTCTAAGAGGGTTAAACAAGGATACCGTATTGTTTTCAAACAAATTAAAATATTAACAGTAATTGCACCATTCTTTTTTTCTCCTTTTGCCTTTTTTTAAATTCTCCACTGCACCCGGCCCGATAGGCCCACGCGTTTCTTTTTTGTCGGTCATGGTTCCACAGTTTCGCCTCATATCACAATAGAATAACAATTAATACTAATATTTAATGATTAAATTCAAATTAATGCACAAGTAAAATACGTAACTGTTTTTTAAAACGCTATTTTTCTATTTCTTCATAAATTCGTCGTCTGTACTGTTAGTATTACAATTACCTCATCAAAATGTTAATTATAATCTGGGTCCGGTTTCATCAAGGCTGGATAGCGCTATCCTATGGCTAAAAATGGCCGCTCTCCTCTGGATAGAGCTGTCCAGAGGATAGTGCGTTTCATCAACAGTGGGTAGCGTTATCCAGGGGATAAATCAGCTTATCCAGAGGATAAAGTTGTCCGCTCGAAATAGGTGGGATAAATCTGCTATCATGCTGTTAAATCATCAAAAATGGCGAACCTGTTTGCTTTGGAAGTAAATCCTATGAGATTTCACAGGTGTAGAATGATAAGAAAGAGAATTTTAGAAGATGTATGTTTGCTTTTGATGATTTAAGTGATGCTGAATCAATAGATTACATAACAGACTTTATCAAAGTTGACATCGTGCCTGCTACGAACAAAACCCATGCAATCTCCCTGAGAGACCAATTATCTTTATTTTACTAAAACATACCTTTTAAATCGACGAAAAATGTCTACACTGCTATTGACAGAATCTGCCAAATGTGCCAAGTCAGCCATTTTGTTAGAAATTATGTCACGACCTTGCCCTTCAACTGCAAATCTGTGTAAACATTGCATGAGGCACAACTAATGCAATGTGATGTGTTATTGACACTGACACTAAAATATCCTGTAGATATTTTCCCCATTATTTTAATGAATGTACCATCTTGAAATATACTTAGAATATTGTTTATTATGGGTTATTTATTTTCCAAATATGGTATAGACCACTTTTTGTTAGCAACTATCATGGCTCTTATAATGTTTATAGCAACCAACTGCATTATGGGAATGTCTTTTTCCAAATATGGTATTGGATAAATTTTTATCCATTGTATTACTATCATGCTCTTTATCCAGCATTTATGAAACACAAATTTACACAGAGGATAACTATCCAGAGAATAAGAGATTTATACCATGGATAGTGTTATCCACAGGATAGCCTATCCAGCCTTGATGAAACCGGGCCCTGGTGTTTTGGCAATACAAAGAGCGGTGCTTAAATTTGTTAGGAATCTAGTTTTTAGATGATAGGCCTACGTTATATGATTATTCATGTAATTATTGCATTCTAGAATAATCTTAGCTTTCGACATGGCAGAACTTCCAGTGTGAACTGGCAATATTAGACAAAGGCCAGTATAAACGTTTTAGGTTATGAAATCTCTTCATACTTTTTGACTGCATTTTTGTGAAGGGGAGCTTCATTTAATTAATTTCCAAGGAAAACATTGTAAAAAAAACTCTCCTTAAATTCATTTTCATGAGTTAAGCACTCTTGTGTTTAAGTATTATTCTCATTCAAACACGGTTCAAAACGGTGATATACATGTTTTAATTATTCTTGAGTGCAAAATACCAATTAAGACAATGTAATTCATGTCACTTTTAACAGTAGAAGTCAAAACACGCTAACGTTAAAAAATAGTTATATCAGTACTGGCCCTTTTTATTTGACTCATCGTGGAGACATACCTTTCAGTCTCCACAATGTTTGTTGGGAAATGACACTTGTTCAAAGACAAAGGTATTTGACTTTAACACAATAATTGCCGAATGACCTCACAACAACGCCAACGCCGTTCACCACACGCGGAAGGTCGAGACGCTATAAAAACACGCGGTATCGTGTTCAAGCATTAAACACTTCTTGAGACATTCGAGACGAACACAGAAACAGAAACAAGACAGGTCACAGAAGCTGCTGGCACAAAGCGGCTGGCACGGTTTAAGTACTTTCATTCATTTTCAGTGAAGGAGACGCCTGTGATAGAATTAAGCCTTTTCCCGGTTAAAGATGATTGGGCTTTGCAGTGTTGTAAGTACAGAGTTTCTACCCATGTGTCATATCTACATGTAATTATATTTTTTGAGGTACAGGAGAGAGAAAGAGAGGCAGCTGAAGAGAGAGAGAGAGAGAGAGAGGGGGGGCAAATTCTATAGCGTATAACCTAATATTAACGACAGGTAAACTATGCCTCGCTCCAGTAATAGGACTAATATAGCCTCGGTGGATGATCTAACTCTTTATGGGGTCAAAACCAAAAGAAAGCAGAAGAATGAAAATGAGGTGTATAAAGATTCGTTTAGAAGGTAGCACAGTACCATTTATAGTGGGATAACGATCAGAAATTTGCCTCATTATCACGGGTCTATATATACAGTATAAAGTTGCCCGTGTATAGGAATAAAAACAGAGAACCAAATGTTTTAAAATAGCTTAGAGTAGAACCACATGTCCTGTCAGGTCCAATAAACTAAATGCAATAAACAGACCGAAAAATAATAACGTAACACTTTTGCCAACCTGCTATAAATGGGCCCACGACCTCCTTTAAGTCACACGGATGCTTATTTGATTAAAAGCACAACAACAAATCCAAAGAGATGTTGACCTCATTGTTATAAATTGTAGACTCAAAAATATTGGAAAATCGTTAAATCATATATGGGTTTAGTGTAAGCAGGAGTAGGAGTTACTTTTTAAATCATTTTAAGCTTTCCATGCGATGAATCATTTCCTCACCATCTCAAATTAGTGGTTTGAAAACGCCATACTTAAACCACATTGATCGCGCAGTGTACTTAATTAATTACTTAATTGCAAACATAATATTTATCCATTTTCATTAAAAAAAGACATAACTTCTTGGATATCATGTTAATGTCATAAACGTAAAATAATAATTGATTAGCTTGGTTTTACTTAAACAGCAAGCACATCATGAATGGAAATGTATTCATAATTGTATCTCGCGACAGGAGACAGGAAAAAAATGCACCAAATCTCTCTTCCGAAAGTCAAGGAACGTAAGTCAAAACACAGGGTTACCTGAGGTGTAAGAAAAAAAAGACATGGCAAATTCTTTGTTTTCATTTCAAATAGTGGTTTTGTAGGCACAGAAGAGGCCAAAACAAATAAAAGATATTTTAACCCCTGCGTATTTTCCAATGGTCTTTCACTGTGTTATGCCCGGAGTTGGCTGTGAAGATCCGGTACTTGATTAAATCCGGTGTCATCAATCTTACTGTCACCAAGTGGGTTCCCCTTTATTTAGCCTTATTTCCTGTGAAATAATTTTCGGGTATTAGTTCAAATTTTCTATCAAGACTAGGGTTTTCTTTAATAACGAATTGCGACACAGATATTAACTTTGTAGGATAAATTCAAGTACAACGTTCAATAAGAATTTTTTTGTTAGTTTGCTATTGAATTTCAACAAAGTCACAAGAACAATTTTGAACATTATATATATATATATATATATATATATATATATATATATATATATATAAAGAAAAATACAATCGGTAAGGTCTACTAGTTGGCGGTGGGCAGTGAAAAAGCACTTGACGACACAAACTTCCTTATCATTCCAAACCAGGGTCAAGATTGTTTAAGCATTCGGCTAACGCACTGAACGAACGCACGTCGAAGACGTGACGCATTCAGAGATAAAGAATTCGGACATGCAAACAAACAGCGCGTACTGGGCGTTAGTACTCGGTGGGTAATATTGTAATCATTGACCCTGTCCCCTACACTGGGCAAGACGTAGCCAAATAAGACTCCCACACCAAAACGTACAATTTAGTCATAAAACGAAATGGTGGTGGAGTTCATTAACAAGGGTTCGTAGACTTACCAACTCACACGCGATATAGTTTCTCTGTTTTGTTTAACTGAATGGCAAAATTAAATCAAACAATTTAGAACCACATGGGATCGCATAGCCTGGCAGGTCATAGCGAGAAAAGTAATATATATATATATATATATAAACATTATATATTATATATATATAAAGAAAAATACAATCATGTAGAAAACCTAAGATTGTCTAAGAAGGTTTAATAATTAAAAAAATAAAATAAACGGAAGTACCGGTAAGGTCTACTAGTTGGCGGTGGGCAGTGAAAAAGCACTTGACGACACAAACTTCCTTATCATTCCAAACCAGGGTCAAGATTGTTTAAGCATTCGGCTAACGCACTGAACGAACGCACGTCGAAGACGTGACGCATTCAGAGATAAAGAATTCGGACATGCAAACAAATAGCGCGTACTGGGCGTTAGTACTCGGTGGGTAATATTGTAATCATTGACCCTGTCCCCTACACTGGGCAAGACGTAGCCAAATAAGACTCCCACACCAAAACGTACAATTTAGTCATAAAACGAAATGGTGGTGGAGTTTATTAACAAGGGTTCGTAGACTTACCAACTCACACGCGATATAGTTTCTCTGTTTTGTTTAACTGAATGGCAAAATTAAATCAAACAATTTAGAACCACATGGGATCGCATAGCCTGGCAGGTCATAGCGAGAAAAGTAACGGCTATAATGGAAATTGTGCCACCAAAACAAACAAAGCGCTCTGGTGGACGATGTGTTAAACATTTTATGAAAAAGAAAGACAAGTTAATACCGGGGCAAGTAATTGCTATAATGGAAATTGTGCCACCAAAACATACAAAGCTCTCTGGTGGACGATGTGTTAGACATTTTATGAAAAAGAAAGACAAGTTAATACCGGGACAAGTCCATTTCCATTTCAGCTAGGAGTGTGTCACTGTAATCGAATACGAAAAACGTCAAAGCCAGTTTGTTTCCCAACAATCAGATACAAGATGCGATAACGGTATTTAAGGATTTGAAGAATACGACAGAATGCGTTTTTTTTTTTTTTCTTAAAAGCCATGTTGTGGAACGGATTTTGAACAGGAATTAAAAGATTAAAAAACAGCTTTATTTCAAACAATTCTAAGAAAAACCAAATTTTAAATGTATTATTTATTGTGTAACAAAAGATATTTGTAGATTTTAAATGGAGTAGAAGAGGAAAGCTTTTTAGGGGGAGGGGGTAGCTCAAGAGAGAGATAGGGGCTAGCAATATTTTAAGAAAAGTTGGAAACAGCTCAGTGTTTATTCTTTTTTAGTGGAGCTGGGTAGAGGTGGGTAGAACGTGGACGACTACAAGAGAGTCGTCAAACAGTTTCAGCCATAAAGGTCAAATTGATTAAAGAATTAGACAAATATTTTGTGACACATATCCTGTCTTGAATCTGTCTTGAATCGTGTATAAGTATCAGAGGATAGCAGCATGTCTCTGTCGTGACATAGGTCATGTTTAGTGTTAAATCTAACACGTTTAAGATTAGTGTTTGTCATCGATAATGCCTTCCCCCCATGGAAATTAACTTGTGTGACTGACGAAAATGGGTGGCAAATGTAATTTTTTTTTATTTCATTATTATTTAAAATACTTGGCATGTCCAAGCCCAATTTTTTGTGTTTACCAAAAAATTAAACTTATAGAGACACCATTTGTACATGTAATTGGTCATTGTTTGATTAATGCGCGTCATCAACGCCCCTCATAGATAAAGTTTTAGAGATTCATGCCTGCGTTTGGCTTTTGTCAACTGAAGTGATAATAAGTCGGAAGGTGATAGAATCCCACTTCCTCGATTCGATTCCTCCTATGTTGTAATTACAACACCCAAAAACATAACTTCCTATAATCGTCAACCTTAACTGTGTACAATTATGGAAGAATTGTAAATAATGATAAAAATCCTCCTCCTGTTATTATTATTATTATTATTAGAATGCTAAAGGAAATTCATTAGATTGGGTTTTAAAAATTTATCACTCTTTCATAACGAATATGTAAAATCCAACTTGTAATTGCAAGAATAAACATTATTATTATTATTATTATTATTATCAAATATTTCTATTTGATTTTTAGGTATTATGTCTGATCCTTAGTGACCCAATCACCGGTGCCCAACAGGAGAGTCGTCTTTTGGGTCCTCAGGGGCGGATCCTCTTTCAGCCACCTCCAACTCTCCCAACCTTCTCCGTCGACGACAACGGCATCCCCATCGGACCCCAGAGCCTAATGCTAGCCGAACCGCCAAGTCCGATGCCTAGTTTTCTTCTCCTAAAGCCAGCGCACCCGCCAAGCCCTGCCCCGGTGGGGCCACCAGGGGTCCGTACCCAGGATCGCGGTCCCTCACCACCTGGGACTCAGCCAAGATTTGGGGGAGAAGATGATGATAACGCGACAACTCCCCAACCTAGACGAAGACACCATCATCGGCGTAGAGGGCACGGTGAACGGGGATCCCGGCATTTAAGGAGAGGTAGACACGGTTTGCGGTTCAGAGGACCCCCTGGTCACGCACGCGCCGGATCCACGGAGCATGCCCAAGCTGCACCCCCGGGGTACCGACAGTCTGGTCCTCCTGGTCTTACTCTGAAGGGACCAGCCGGATTCTACCGTAGCGCTGGGGCGCCCAGTGTCGCGGCAGGCCCACCGCGAGAGGGAGCCTCTGTAAGAAACCCTGCTCCGGCTAGTCTCACTGAATTGGAGTATCTGCAAAGGCTAGCTCTTCAGCCAGGTATGGGATGAAGTTGGGAACGGTTGCCTGTGTCTTGTTTTATAAAGGCTGTTACCATTTCCTTCTTCTTGAAAATTATTTCCCAACACAAATATTGGTAGATTTTTAAAATGCTTTATCTTGTCTTTTACATTTTTATTTCCATTTAATCTTTTTTTACTGGATTTCTTTCTGCGAAAACGTTTCACGCCTTTTTCACCCATCAATTCTTTTCAATTACATAATTGTCTGCATTAATTAAGTAGCCCCCCTGATCCAGCCTATTTACAATAAATAAAGGTGACCTTTTTCGTACAGGAATGACCCTGGAAGACCTAAAGCCAAGAAGCAGGCCTGGGACTAATACACAACCACCTAGAAAGACAACAGTCGTTGCACCTAGGACACGCCCACCGAGACCGACACGTGCAACTGCACGTGCGACGACACGTGCGACTACACGTGCTCCGCCGAGAACTACAACACGTCAGACCAGAGGTAGCTTTTACTGCTACATTTTTGAAAAAATACAAAAATCGAAATTTGTTTCTGTCGCGACTATCAAATCAAGGAAACCAACTGCGTTCGAATGACCAGTATGTGTGAGCAATGCACAGTAAAAGATTTGCAAGTTTTGTGGTACGTTGCACGAGTGAATGCAACAATGATTTAATAATTTCCATACTCTAGATATCTGCTATAAGAAATGTGTGAGAAAGGAATTCCTAGAATGGTTATAAATGACATTTAACAATCATGTAGATTGAATAAGTGGCAAGCCAACAGCCTAAATGTCAGAGAACATTACACGCTTTTATAACGGTACACAAATATATTATTTTTATCTTTCAGTGGAATCATCCAATTGTCGCAACACCTATCCCGATAGCAAATGCGAGTCGTGGGCAAGAACAGATCAGTGTAGAGTCAATCCAAGTTTTATGCTTGAACACTGCAAGAAATCGTGCAAAGTGTGTACGGGTGGTGGCGGCGATGGGTCAAACAACGGCGGCAATACCGACCAAGGCAAAACCGACAAGGGTGACTGTGCCGAGAACAAGCACCCAAACGACCAAGAATGCGAATACTGGGCTCGAAGAGGAGAATGCGAGGCAAACCCGAGTTGGATGTTGCAAAACTGCCGTAAAGCCTGCAAACCAGAGGACTGTGGTAGTGACAAGGCGTGCGTGAACGATTATGGCGACGACGCTCAGTGTTCTCGCTGGGCAAATCGTGGAGAATGCGACAACAATCCTAACTGGATGTTGGAAAACTGCCACAAGGCCTGCAACCCCAAATGCGTCCAGAAGGACACGGACGCCTGCAGCAAAGATGGCTGCCGTAAAGGAACATGTAAAAACACCTACGGAAGTGACAAGGATTGTAAATGGTGGGCCATGGACAACCAGTGCGAGACCAACCCAGGCTGGATGTTGGTGAACTGCGCCAAGGCGTGCAAGTGTGAGGAAGAAGACAACGAGACACCGCAGCCAGGAGGAAAGTGCAGCGACCCGGACGGGTTTTGTTTGCAGCTCGGGAGACGTGGAAAGTGTAAGTATAACAGCACTTACCTAATGGAAAAGGGGAAACAGGATAGTCAAAGTGCAATGTAAAAATCGAGTACAATTGAGGCATTGATCGCATCTACTTTAAGAACTATACATCAAATAACGCAAGAAAGTTACACTGTGAGCAGTTAAATTTTTGTCAACAAATGAGTTCATATGTTTCAGAGAAAAACACCCACTCCTGAACGTTTAACAAATATATCTACATCCACTGTATACAGTAATATCACAGCATTGCTACGCTGGTAAAATTAGAATATATAGCCCTGCAACACTGGTCACAATAAAAAACTCCACGTGTCAAGTCAGGTCAACTATGGTTATTTCTCCAATAGGCACATGTGGTTATCCTTACCTCCAAAACAACAACCTTCAAGTACAGCCGTCCACCAACAACAGCCGGCCCCAGCCTATCATCTGGGGACGGGAGGCCAGACCCAACACGTGGCCCTGGCAGGCGTCCCTTCAGCTTAAAGAGGGGTACAGTGGATACGGGGAAGAGATTCGGTGGAAGCACCAGTGTGGCGGTACGCTGATAACCCCGAAGTGGATCTTGACGGCGGCGCATTGTGTGTATCAGTAAGTTGAGATGACTCTCCTCTGTCATACGTGCCTATTGCTTCTGTTATAGATTTTATTTGCTTTTTAAATAGAGTTACAAAAAAAATCTCAAACCGTGGAATCACTTTAACTTCAAAGTTCTGTATTTTTATGCGTGTTGTGGCAGATTATTTAAAGTCTATTAGGGTAGAATAATGAAAAAAGAATATTACAAAAATATTACCGATGTTAAGGGTAATCATCAAATCAATCATTTACCCAGATCCAAATATAAATATGGATAAATGAAACTTTTTAAGACACTACAAATTCAGAAACAGCTTACATATTTCTCCAACAGACCCGGCTTTGATAACCCAGTCAACTGGCGAGTGGTCCTTGGGGAACATCGCATCAGTCAGGACTCGGGCAAAGAAGAGATACGTCGAGTAATACGCATTATTAAGGTAAGTTCAATATCTACAATCTGTCACGACAAATTTAGGTAAATTATGGCATAATAGTTGAAAATTATTTAAAATTGAGGTGCCCTCATCTAGCGTCCATCTGGACTTGCCTGTATCATTATATTCTGAATATTTATACTATTTTGATTTCGGAGTGAATATATTTTTTCTACAAATTTATTACAAAGTCAGCAAACGGTGCGGTTTTGTTTTAATTTAGCCTGGTTGTATGAGAGAATGCTTTCAATAAATGTTACTATTTTCAATATCTGGAGATGTTATCCACTGACAGTGTGAAAGTCGCTTAAGTATCTCAAATGTACAATTAAACAATATATTTCTAAACAAACTTTTAGCCTTCACAGTTTATTATTACTGTGGTAGGTACGATAAAATTCGCTTTTTTGGAAGTGGAGTCAGATGTAATGATACGAACCTTCTTACCCCCCCCCCCCCCCCCTCCCACACACACACACACACAATCTGCTCTCGCCTGTATCACAGTATTTCGTTTTGAAATTTTTCCATTTCGATTTCAGCATCCGCAGTTCTATTATTACGGCGGTGCACGCAATGACATCGCTCTGTTAGAACTGGACTCGGATGTGCCGCTTGGTACCTACATCCAAACCGCATGTCTGGCGTCCAAAAACCAGTGTTTCCACAGGAATCCTAATTGTTTCATCACAGGATGGGGAGCTACATTAGGTAACTATCACATAAATTAGCAAGGTGTGACGTATCCGGTTTCGCTGTTTGTTTTGGAGGGATGCCCGGTTTTTTTGGATTCTGCGAAATAGAACAACACATTACAAAGTCGATTGCTTCATTAAATAAAATAAGACTTAATGATATCAAAGTGGTTGTATTGATATTCAAAGGCTCTTCATTCTGTGTAAAACTATATTTCCTGTTGTCTGTATGACAGGAGTGGGAGGTATCAGAGGGTTATTGACTTCCTTCACGTTTTTCTTTACTATTTATAACAGTTGTTTCCCAACAACCAATTAAGGCATTGGTAGTGAAATAAAATCATTTATTCAAATTAAAACTAAAGAAACTGTAGTCTACACGAACGTTGCAAGACATGTCATTCTTTTTTTCAGGTACCGGAGACCCCGATGTTTTGAACGAAGTGCGTATGGAAGTCCGCACCAAAGCGGAATGTGTGAGAGAATGGAGCGCCAACAGGATCTTTGACACACATATCTGTATTGGATATGGCTACCAGAGTGCATGTCATGTAAGTATTAATAAGTACTAGTGATTTAAATCATTATATAAACAAATAAAATAAGAAATAATTTAAATAATAATTCACATTTTGGGACTAAAGCTTTTCATATTACCATCTGCAGCAAACGATGCCTAATGTTGGACAATTATTCGGAGGATGTAATATCCGATATGTACTAACATTTTTCTGCAGCATCTTCCAACAATTTCAAACTTTGTTACCAATTAACAACAGTCCAGGCCAGATTTATGAAACCCATTTAAGTTTTTTTTTATAATAACACAATTCAAGCCACTCAAAGATGTTCTTTTTTAATCTAATAGGGCGATTCCGGAGGACCATTGGTTTGCAAAGTTGGTTCTCGTTATACTCTCGCTGGAGTGACGTCATGGGGGCCACAGGGTTGCCAAGGACAGCCTAGTGTGTACACGCGAGTCTCATCCTACATTGACTGGATTACAGATGTGATACGTCAGCTGACCTATTAGAAATTATAATACCTGTGAACTAAACACCAAACGCAGTACATAATTGGACTTAACATATGCTATACAAGAGAGGGACATTCCTGAAAATTAAGTTTGTGCCAAAGTTCCGTTATGAAAGATATACCTGGTCAGCCTCTCATAAATGTTAGGTTTCAAGCACTAAGAAAAATATTAAGAAGCAAATATGAACCCATGTGAATACACGTTCAAAGCTTTTATGTGCCAAAGTTATTTTTTAAAATAACAACGATATAATTTTATTCATGATAACAAGAAGAAAGTTTAAGTTGAAAATATTTTTACGATAATGATTTATCGTTAAGGTATGTTTTGTAAGAAATAAACAATTGTGAAAAATCATAATACATAACTTCAACTCTGTTCGTTTACACAATTCCCAACATAAATATTTTATTTGAAATGATAATAAATTTAAAACAGTACATGTCATATTCAATTAAAGAGCATAGAAAAATATTCTACACAGCACTAATTATTTGATCCAACCTGCAGATACATTTAAGTAACCAAGTATCTTTTACATTTGAAGAAAAAAATGGCACTGCTTACTACCCTTATACTATCATATTAATTTTGATTTTAATGCAGCATATATGATTCAGAATAATTCAGTGCAACACATGTAATTACAATGGCAACCACTCATATTTTAAACAAAATTGAAATAGATATAACTTCAACTTTGAATGTTACAAAGTATAGATACATGTTCATTTATACAGCAAATATTATTTACATGTACATTGCACATCAATGGGGATCTGTGAGATGATATCAGACCAGAAAATGTCAGAGAATACCGCAAGATGGGTTAACTTTTTAGTGATAAGGCTGAAACTCTATGCACCAGGAATGTTGTCTTGGAAAGTAATACCCTACCATGCCGAATTTGCACTGTTGAGCAAAAAACTATAATTTTACAGAACTGAAGAGAAAACAACAACAACAAAAATCCATCAATAAATTGTAAGCTTTTATTTGTTGTTAAACTGCAGTAGCTAGTCTGTCATCATATTAACTTGACCCTCTCTGAAAACAGTGCCAAATCTCCCTTGACTTTACGCATCTCAGATGATCCTCATTAATTAACACAATGTATGCCACTTGCCAATGAGAACAGTAGCATAAACATTGGAATCTATGTTTGACATGATGATTCCCAGTCATGTTTGGCATACATAATAATATTCTTTGTTAAAATTGACAAGAGCTTGTAGCAAAAAATAAAGTAATATTTTCCTATATGCTTTTGCATACAAACTGCATTGCAAATATTGAATTCTCTATAATTATGCTCTTGTATAAAAGTGGAAGCAAAATTCAGCAATTTATATCAGAAAACATTCTTCACTGTATTTATACATTACAAGTTATAAGGAAAAAATTAATACTCTATTTCAAGTTGAACGTTTTCCCTTTCAATTCTTTCAAAGAGCAACTCTTCTTTTTTAACACACTAATTACATTTATACAAAATTTATTCTACGTAAAATGCTTTGAACTATACCCCCCCCCCAAAAAAAAAATGCTCCTTTGAAAAACAGATCTTACATGTTATGTTCCTTTCAAGACACCAATCATGCTAATATTCATTTTTAAAACCTTTTCCTGGACTAATAAATATCACAGCAAAGACAAATGTTTCATTCTCATCGCAAGGATTTCTGACCACCAAACACAACATCATTTCCCCTGTGATTTTGTAATTTGTAAGTCTTCCAGTAAAAACATGAAATTAAAATTATCATATAATTGTCAACTAATTATCTTCAGAAACAATTGTCAATTGTTTATCAAAAATATCAGATCAAACCTCTGTTCTTGATTGCACGCCGCAGCAAAGTTTCTCAAGTTGGCGCCCTGGCCTCGTCTTTCCTTCCACTTCCGTAGCATCTGGTAGCACATTTCTTGCATCCCTTCCACATGTGTATCATGATGAATGGCATCTAGCTCAGCATCATCGAGTCCTGAAAGGTGGAGAGAAAATTGTTTAAAAATTAGAATGCTGATTCAACATTTTAACAAATCAATGTCTTTTAAAATATAAATTAAGTAAAATAAGCCTTTTTTGAATAGTTCAAAAAAATTGCCAAAGTTGTAACTCAAGTTCCAATAATAGTATTTCAACAGCTGTGCTATATTTTTTCATTTTGGTTATTGTGACTGCTGATGTATAAATTGATTGCAAAGTACAACATCCTTAATATGTACCAAACTTCATACTTAAAAAGAGAGAAAAATTAAAATATACCAAGACTTCTTCCAAGAACCCTCCAATTCCTCCCAATAGCTCTGGACAGCTTCATAAAGTCACTGGTACCCAATATTTTGTCTGGGTCTGACATGACAAATATAATTATCTTTAATTTATAGCATAGTATAAAATTATAATGTTTCTTACTTTATGACTGTAAAATAAGTTCAAAGAGATCATAAATCATTCAGCTGAGATATATTTATACAACCATGAGACAAAAATAAATAAAAGAAAGAAAGAAAACAGTGAGTTCCTATCTTGATAATTATTCTTTACTGATATAAATAAAATAAAACAGGTACTCCTATGTATATTTATTTACAGTGATTTGCATTAGGCATACTTACTTATAAGAGGAACATTCACGTTGGCAGCAGGCTGCTGCTGATGACTGGCAATCATCTGCATTAGCTGTTGAGCGTGGGCAGGAAAAAAATCTGCTGGGACGTTTATCACATTCTGGTCTCCAATTTGTATGTTGTGACTGTTTGATATGCTGATATTGTGCTGCAATATGAAAAATGATATTTATAGACTAAAATTTGAAATTTTACTCTGATTCAAATGCAGGCTGAGATGTAAAGAACTGTCATTTAGTGAAAAATTAGCTTGGGGTACAGGGGGCCTCCTAAGTCCATGATATTTTTGCCTCTCAAAAAGTTGGAAATCTGCCAATGGTGAGAAAAAATCTCATCCCTGTATGTAGGTCTGACAATTATAATTGTTGTAAAGAACAGTTTGGGACCTTAATTAAGACAATTCAATGACTTATAAATTTCTCTGAAAAAATAAAATATTGCATGTCTACCTAACCCGCAAGTAAACTCTTTCAATCACGCTCATTTTAAAGCCTACATGAATAGAGACAGTTTAATTTTGATTTTTAGGTTCCTGCAGCATTCTAAAAAAAATCTACATCAAATTAACAAAATATGTACCGTTCCGCCCAAATTAGCTACTGGCATTTGAGCAGGCACAGTTGGCATTGGAAACTGTGGGATTGCATGGACTTTCTGCTGAGCTGTTGCAGCTGCCTTCCCTGTAGCCCCAACATTAGGCCTTGCTGTTCTCCCTACTGCTCCTGTTTCCTGCATCACTGTTGGTTTTGGACGGTTGGTGTCTTCTTTAGCTGCAAGTTGTGATAATATGAAGATGTGTTATTGTTAATAAAACATAGCTGCAAGTACATATGAGAAATAATCATGGTATATGTTGGTGACTAATTAAGAGAATGCATCAAAAAAGAGAAAAGCAGTATCACAGCTTTTCAAAAAATGTTCTATATTTTTGGGGAGATTGCTCATAGATCAGTCAGTAAAAAGTACATGAATCAAAATAAAATTATAAACAAAATTAAAAACAAAAATGAACTACAACAGTGCCTGCTCATGTATTACTTAAAATCAGATATGTCAAGTGTACCAAAACCTGTCATGGCTAATACTAGCTCAAGTATCATCTGATGATCTTCACTCCTACAACCCTCCACCCTACTCCTATTAATCTTTGCTACTAGACATACCTATTGGGAGTGAAGGCTCTGCATCCATGTTCACTTCTGTCAAATCTTGGTCCATTTGTTTTTCCTCTGGAACCACAGTATTGCTATTACGTATCACGTCTTCCAGGGTCATCCCCTTAAACTCATTTGTCATACCTGTCACTGCAGACTCCTCCTCCTGTTTAAAATTTAGGACATTTAAAGCTGCTTCATTTGTCTTGACAGTTTTTTTTCTGGAGGGTGGGGGTAAGGGACCACCAGCCCCTCAAAAAATTCAATTATAAATTCGTACAATGTTTTCCTTTGATTATAATGTATACAATAAATTAAAAATACATGATGCTCTCGTAACAGAAAAAAGTATAGGTTTTATACTTCAAATTACTGATAATTTTTCTAGGTAGTCATTTTCTACTTTGTTCCCCCAATCTCTCTCTCTCTCTCTCTCTCTCTCTCACCCACACACAAACACTCACACACATGGATACACACTTCTGTACACACATAAACACACAGAGACCACCTCACTTCACACATATCTCCCTACCAAACAGCTTACCATCTGTTTTGGAAGATTATTTGCAGCAGCTTTGGCATCTTGTTTATACTTTGTGTAGACTTGTTCTAACAATCCTACAGACTCTGCATGAAAAAGCATCTCCCATTTATGATGTTATTATGCTCAATTTTTACTTCTTTGTTGTTCATTTTATTCTTTCATCTTTCACAGTTCACAAAAATGAAATATATTAAAAATATTTTTTAAATTACATCATTTAGTGAGCACAATGTAATCTTTGCAGAAACAATTAACTTTGTATCATCATTACATAAAAAACAATGAAATCATTTCACAAAATTAAATGCTAATTTCTCATTTTTATCTTAAAAAACACACCTGAAAACTCTGGTCTGAACTGTGGTCTCTGGTGCCAGCATTTCTCCATTAATTTCAAGACACACTGCCCCTCCTGTTCCAGCTCTGAAGGGATATTTATACTTTTTAAGTCGGGCCTCTGACCTGCTTTGACACAGCCTTGAATGTGCAGTTCGTTGGCTGCATCTGAAAATATAAAGAAAATACTGAAAATATAAATAAATAAATAAATAAATAAATAAATAAATATACTGAAAATATATCAGTTATTTGATAAAAGGCACACAATGCACTTTAAACACACGCGCGCGCGCGCGCGTGTGTGTGTGTGTGTGTGTGTGTGTGTGTGTGTGTGTGTGTGTGTGTGTGTGTGTGGCAAAAATTTAACTGCCCTAGAAATTTAAACATTATCTGCTTCATTTCCAAGGTACTAATATATGATACAATAATTATTAAAAATTTTCACAAAATATTCATCCATCATAGGTCTGTTTTTGAGTTTCAAGTTTCTAGAATATTTATTCAGAATCATGTATTTTATGACTCGAGTCACTCTTGTAATAGAGATAGAGACTGGTGAATTTCACTTGTGCTGGTAACACAAAAAATTCAGAACTCAAAAACGGGTTTACAGATCATTGTTTTCTGAACTGTCATGGATAGCTATAATTGAAATTGTACATACATTCTTAATATATATCAGTCAAGTATATTAAACTCATCTTTAAACACTTTACTGTTTTGAGTATAAAGTATTTATATTATTTTCATATCATGGCTTACTTTGATAAGGTGTTTTCCCTGATAAAACCTCCCAGATGAGAATACCATAGCTGCAAGTATAAATCCAAAAACCATGAACAGACAAAGTACTGCTGTGGCAGACTGGCAACTAATATTATATTAATATTAAATGTACAGTATATGTGAAATCAATAGTCTTGTTTACATTTATGTGTGAACATGTAAGTGCATGTGTTCAACATAAGTGTACATGTACTGGGGTATGATTGTTTTTGTGCATGTGCATTACCATATGTTACAAAGAATATTTATTCAGAATCATCTATTTTATGACTTTTGGGTCAAAACATAATTTCAGCAATAATTATGGAGGCAGTTGGGCTTGTGTGTTAAAAACCTAAAAACCAACAATAACAACAAAAACGTAAGTCCTGAAAAAATTGTATTCAGCACTGTGCCCTGACACCAGGACAAATAATGCAAGGAACATTCTGGAGACAGAATCTAAAATAATATTAGTACCCATGTTATTACAGGGTTCAACTAACAACCAACTTACCCATAAATATCAAATTTGGTAGTTGGCACCATGTTGATGTCTTGCATGGCCTCTGGAGGCATGTGTGTAACAGTACCACCCACTTTCTTCTGTATCCCCCCTGCCCCTGTGGAGTGCCTCTTCCACATGGATAGACCAAAGTCACAGATCTGAAACATAATAAATACATAAGTAAGTAAATAAATAAATAAATAAATAAATAAATAAATAATTCAAACAAATATTTATAATTCCAAATTGCCACAATGATCTTAACAGTTGCACGTCCCCCTACCTCCCTCCCAACCAAAAAATTAAAAGAAAATAATAAAGAAATAAATTTAAAGAAAAAAATGATTCACAAATAAACAAAAGCAGTTCAAGCTTCTTCTACATACTTACAGTTCAAAAATTGGAATTTGAAAAAATCAAATTTTAAAATTGCAAAAAAAAAAAAAAAAAAAAAACTCCACTAACTCTGACATGGAAATCCTCGCTGAGCAGCACATTCTGTGACTTGAGGTCGAGGTGGAGGATCATGGGGTTCAGGGTGTGCAGGTAGTTCATCCCCAGGGAGGTCTGGTAAAGAATTCTCCAACGCAGCGGCCAAGGGATATCAGCCCTCTCAAATAACCTAAAGTATTTACACATAATATATTACATTATAATTCTTGATGTATTTATGCAGAGTATTGTAAGCTGTATATTAAAATACCAAATACCTGTAAATAAATAAATAAATAAATAAATAAATAAATAAATAAATAAATAAATAAATAAATAAAACAAAATGCCTGAAATGAAATATTCTATATTTAGAAGTTCTATACATATAACAGTAAGCAACATTAACACTGGTTTATCACCAAATGTCAGTAAAATTGAAACTAAATAGTTACTGGCCACTATTTCTGCCTTGAGACGGTAGATTCTTGGCCTGTACTAAATGTGTCCAGAAAATATGGCACAAACTAATTTAATAAAAAGTGTGACTGCAACATGGGCAGCAGTTTTATGGAAATTATTTTCAGCATTCTGTTAGGATGAACATAAAAACTAAATAACAGAAACAAATCTAGAATACTCAAACATTTATTCAATGGAATTAAAAACAATGATATTTATGAAATGAAAAAATATGAAACCCAACAAAGTAATGAGTATTTACACTCACATTTGCAATGACCCATTCTCTTCAAAGTCCATCACCAGGGCATAAAACATTGGTTCTAAACAAATCCCATGGACATTTACAATGTACTGGCTCCTTACTTTCAGTAGTTTACTTGCTTCATCACACAAGGCTTGCTTACCCCTAAAAAGGCACCAATGATAAAAATGAAAAGTAATATCAATAATACTTTCATAATATTGACTCACAATTTTTAAATTGTTATACATAAATAAATAAAATCAACCCAAAAGCTCAAAAGGGCTTAAGTTTCATTGTTTTCTCTTAAGATATATATTTAGAGATTGAAAATGAAGTTGAATGGAGAAGACCATAATGATTATGATTAGGTAAATTTTTTCATACAATTGTGAAAAAAAATTAAGGTTTAATTATAGCTAAGAATTGAAAAATCAAATATGTTTGGTTCTGATGTTAAGAGCCTCTTGTACCTTAAGGCAATAATACCCAATTGTGTCAAATGAAAAGCACTAAACTGAGCAACATTTATCTTATTTAAAGCACTTTACCTTAGTGAGTAGATTTCAAATTAAAATATACATATGTATACCTATAGCTGCTGTACTTAAAACAGTACTAGTGCTAGTTTAAGAGTATTGGGATAGTGATTCAGTAATCACTATATATATAGTGCTACAATAAATACAAGTTATTGCACATGCATCACTAAATAATGTACATTAAAATAGCAACAGAAATGCTCAAGTAAAATACCAGGCCTGTAGCCAGCAATTTCAAAAGGGGGTTCTTTATCTGAAAAAGTGGACCTTTTACCATGAAACCTTCATGTATCTAGATAAAATTTTTACCCAAAAGGGACTTTTCCTGGCAAAAAGGGGGTTCTTTTGAGCCCCTAGAACCCCCCCCCCCCTCCGCCCCGGCTACGGGCCTGAACACAAACTGGGGTAGCGCTAACACTCGCCAATTTAGCCAAATGCTAAAACTTACTTAAATTGGCTAAAGAAAAAGGGCTTGATTTGACTTGTTTTAGTTAAATTATAACCATTTTGATAACAAATTAACAAAAAAATGGTGATTTGGCTAAGCAAAAAAAAAAATTGCTAGCACTACCCCAGACATATAATTTATACTTTACACATGCCTTGCATCTAATCCATATTCACTGCATATGCACTTCACTGCCACACTGTGGTGCAGTTCCGTATGCTCAGCCTTGTACACTTTCCCAAATGCGCCACTTCCAATCAGCTCACATATGCGTAGTTTACGGCTCTGTATTTGTGGAACTGCTTCCTTTGGAGGATCCGTGGGACTGGGAGATGCCATCATGGGTTGTTCATGTCATTACACATCGCCCTCCATTAACCAGTATCTAAAGTCAAGATGTTAATTATATCGACTCAATTAAACACCAATAAATATTTACTGATTAAAAATAATGCATAACTTCTTTTACAATACATTTAAATAACACTTTAAAATATATAAATAAACTAGTTTGTTAAAGTCACTCGATCGTCACTGACGAAATTTAAATGGCACCCAATTAATTGGGATTTTCCCCGTGTTGTGATTGTGAACCAGTATATTACGGTTGTGGACTGTCTTGAAGAAGCGCCATCCAGGTGTCGACACACGCTGAAGAAGCGCGTGATATGAATTGACTATCACTCGACTACGAGACACCGGACAGAACACACCTTGGGCGTCAAATCCACAATCTGCGAGCATTCCTTGACCAATACCATACCTACTTAATTATACCACTATAGCTGACATTCAGCAATAGTGCCATAGTGGATATTGATCATGGAGCGGTTGTGAGGACGTACCAGGATTCCTATAAGTGGAATATAAGGTAAGCGGTCTACGCCCCTGATCAGGGCGTGACAGCCGCCTTTATGTGTATCACTGCTAGTTAGACTGTAGTTATCACAAGAATAAGTGACTTTAGCCACTCGGGTTCACTTCATTTGGCGACGAGGAAAACCGAGCCCGTTTCCTGTTCTTTGATCAATTTTTGGTGTAAGAAATTTTTAAATTCCTTTGTCTGCC